TTACATAGATGGGGCGATGGGGTGATGTCCGCTAACACTCAGCTCAAAGACTCCCCTTCTCGCTCAAGCAGTCCGCATCACATCACCGAGATGGGGGCTCGTAGCGATTCTTCGAGCATTGTACCAGCAACTTCGGACACTTCATTCATTTTTAGCATCTAAAATTCTTTTCGAACCTCACAACGAAAGAAATACAGCCGCGGATGGTGTTTTGAAAGGCACATTCGGCGGTAGCAGGTTTTAGGTGATGCAATCCAGAAGCGGAATTTTAGAGTGCTAGTTGCTTTACCTAGTGAAGAGGTTAGCATAAGAAATACCCCTTAGAAAGACTTGAAGTTGACCAAGACCACTGGACGACTAAGACGGTCAAGATCAACGGCAATAGTCTGGAGGTGACGGTGCAGTGAAGGGCGATGCCAGCAACAATCAAGCGAGGTGGTGCAGAGTCACTACCTACGATGATCTTGCGACTTGGGCCTAAATGGGCTTCATGGCTTCGGGGCCTAAACTGCAGCTCCCTTCCTACACACATGTGCGGCGAAAAATGGCAGCTTTTTTTTGCCATTCAAGGCATTGTAGGGTATTTCCTACCTAGCTGACTGGACAGACATAGACACAAATATAGTCGACTTGAGAGACGCAGACGCAGAGAGTCGACGCACTGCAGCAGTGCTACCTTGGTGAATTGGGTCTTGGTGCGAACGCTGTGTAAGTTAATTCGCTTTCAGCGCCTATTCCGTCCGTAGAGGAGTTACATTGTTCCCGTTGTGGAACATCTGAACTGAATGCGCCCATTGCTGCACAAAGCTAAAGTGCCGAGCACGACGGCGCGGCAATTACGAATGTCTTGAGAGTCTTCCCTTCGCCAGTAATATCAGTGTATGTCATGTCAACTTATGTGCCAAGGACGACCGTGAGCAACGGTTGCTTTATTAATTCATTAGGTCTCCTCACTCGGTTTGAGTGTCAGTGCTCTCACAAATCGGAAACATTCCCTGATTACTGGTTCTGGATGGAAAGCAACTGTAAGGCACATCATGAAAGGAGTGATCAGGCCCTCTAATATCACTCGTATATCCTTCAAATCATATAACTGAGCAGAACTTTTTTAAACGTCGATTTGATACCCTAAAAACATTATTCTAGGACAGCATAGGAAAAAAGTGCCTACCACGACAACTACAACTACAACAACTACAACAACTACAACTACAACAACTACAACAACTACAACTACAACAACTACTACAACCACAACCACTACAACCACTACATCCACTGCTTTGACTACAACCACAAGTTCTGCAGCCAAAACTTCGTCCTCAACAATAACACCTTACAACGACAGCACCTACAACGACACCTGCAACCACGACAATGCTCACAACGACGACAACGGAAACACTTGCCTACTTCCACAACTACCATGCCCACAACTACAACGGATGATCTTTCAACGACAACAGAAAAAAAAGATTCGCGAGACTATATATATGAGTATGATGAAGAACAAGACGAAGATGATGAAGAAACTCCAGAAAGCATCGAAAAGTGTTCTGAAGGAGCAAGTTATAACAAACGGAAGGATGAATGTGAATGCATTCCCTCCTTATAGAGACGGCAGAGATGTATATGCGGAGTATAAACGTGTAGCTCCGGTAAGTCCATGAAAACTGAAATTACAATCTCCGTCATTTTTTCCAATATGGGTGTTGATCAAGGGGACATAGCATGGACTGCGGGGACCTTTTCTGGCCTTACTGTCCTCGCATGGATTCCTTTGATTTGTTGTATAAAATATAGGAATCCCAACAAGCCATCTGGACCCAAGTAAGTCTGGCTGTCTAGCCGTAGCAGAGGATTATGCGAATCTAGTAATGTTGTTTGCTGCAACTTAACAATTGCTTCCCTCACAGTTGTCGTTTGCCTTTTTTCTGCATGTTTCCTTGGGGTTTTGTATTCTGTTTCATGTTTTATTTTCTGACGTTGCCTTACACAACGTACTGAATAAAGAATAAATGAACAATGCACGGAATTGGCGATAATGAGAGTGTGATCACAAGGCATGAAACCTTTGCCAAAAGGTGTGGCGATTTTGCTAGATTGAACGTCTGAGAAAGACAGTGGCTCAGAGCCCGTAACAAATACGACCCTTCGATGGCACGCCGTAGATATGTTCGAAGGCAAAATGTACATTAACCTTCGGAAAAGGTCCATTTAAAGAGCGAAGTGAGCGAGTTTGCAGCTCCTCTAGTAAGCCGCTTTCTCAATCAAAACAGCGCTATCTTCAGAATGCAGCACTTCCCTCCGATGCCGAAATCCTGCAGCGAAATCGCAGGCACGATAAGGGACCACAAGTGGGAGGACGCGCAAATGGCGTGTTTGCCTATGGTCAAGGGCCTGGCTTGGCTGTGCGGCGGCATGGGCGGAGTGCGGAGATGTGGCGCGGGTATCACTACCCTTCAGCTTCATTCCCGAGCACTTTCGACCAGAGAAAGTTGACCAGGCTTGTATTTATAATAGGCAGTCACGGGAATATTTGGAGGTAAACAACGAGAGTAAATGCAGATTTAAATGAGTTTAGGGGGTGATATGCCTTCTGTGCGAAAGAAAGTTGGGGAAAAAGTAAAGCTGTTATGTTCGTTCTTGACCATTCCGAATCAGTTGGTGAAATGGGCTGGAATCAGGTTAGTTATCAGTCACCTGTTGCGATACTCTGAATCAGAATCTTTGACAAGTACTTGTTAAAGGCACGTTCCGCGATAAACTAAGGCTAGAACCTCATAAACGTGCATGATGATCAAGCAGGCAACAGTAGAGGATATGCTGCTTTTAAAAGTTGAAAAACAGCAAGCAGAACGCACACGCTCATGTTTTAGGCCCATTGGCGCCCGATAGGCCCATGCCGGCCTCCAGTGACCGTGTCGTTGTGAGACTGCCATTGCGCTCTCTCGCCCGTCATTTTCTGGCCTCTCTCGTCTCTTATCAGTGTATCGCCGCCTTTTGCAATCCACAATTGATCTTGACCACCTTACGCTCGTCCGGTGATCATGATCAATTGAAATAAAGAGGGTCTTATTGCGGGCGCTTTTTCGTGGTTCCTTCTCTTCAATAAGTCAACAATCACAGGGCAATTCTATTTTTGAACTGTATTACCTATGAAGTGTGGTCGCGGGAATTGCCTTTAAGCTTTTTCTTGCTCCACCCCCATTTCCTAGTCTTAGACCTGGTACTCGTGGGAAGATTCCGTGTTAACTACAAAGAGATTCCGTATAAAGTGAAATCGAAGACCAATCAGGAAGTCTATTACAGGGCAGTTGATTAAAATAAGACCGTTGCCTCATTCAGCGCTGATAACTTTTTTGCACGTGCTTACAGGTCAGATGTATGTGGATTTAAGTGCTTGCTGCAGAATCCGCGACGTGGGGATCGTATATGACGTGTAGGTAGAGGGAGGGTTCTATGCGCAGGTCCCAAAAATGTACCGAGCATTGGCAAAATTAGTGGATCACTAATCTCGCTTTTGCGCCATGCCGTGTAGGGTGATCGCCGTAGAGCTGGAAATTCATGACTAAAAGATTCCATGTAAGCGAAACTGCTAAATAAAAATAAACTTGGTGTCCGGACACTACAAGGAACCCATCAGTTGGTGCTTGTGCATATTATGCCCATATTCCATAGATCCATATTTCTACGTCCCTGCACTTGAATGGAAGGCGAGTGCATGTCGCATTCGATAAAGAAATGGGTCAGGGCCTCTGTGCTATATTCTCATTCACTTGAGGGTGAGGGGTGTACCGAAAGCCTTCTGCGTTTCTGAATGTATTAAGTCATCTCACGCAATGTGGGAGGTTTTATTAAAAAAATACCGATGGTGTTATGTTCAAAACCTAGAAGACAAGTCTCCGTCCAGCTCTTTCAGAAGTTCATTCAAGGGAGACTAGTTTTCAGATCTTAGATTTCATGAGAAAAGTGGTTAGAGCACTCGATGGAGTAAGAATTGGAATAATCATGATCAAAAGATATTCCAAAAGTTGACTTGAAAATTGATATGTATTCTGCCAGCGCTTTATCGTGAGCTACTGAGACTTGTGCCTTTTGTGTCCAGAATGGTTAATTCTCTAGTGTATGAAGACTATTGTGATTTAGAAAGTTTTTGGATCAAAACAAGAAATTTAATGGAGATTCGACGAAACTGGGCTACTCTCTATTACTTGCAAGAGAAGAATTAAGGGCAAGTTTGCTATCAAAAGTCTATCTTTCGCCATTCACGAACTTGGTATGCGGTTGACGGAAATAAGTAGCTTCGCTCATATTTAACGGTCAACGGAGACTACCTATCAGTGGTGACAACAAATCTGACCACCGGACAGATTGAGTTTCGTGTGAATGGTTCATGTTTACAGAGGTTGAGGAGCAGCGTTGAAATGATTTCACCACTATTACCATAACTATCTTTTATTAACAACATGAATGACCCTTGTAACCATCGAAATCATAAGCCACTGGTGGCTCGTAATTATTTTTTTTCTATTTCTATTTATTGCATGTATTGCATGTAAAAGCTACATACATGAGGTAGTGATGTAAGTAAAAAGCACAACCATAAAAAAGGAATACGCAGCACCATAAATGACCATAAAGAAGAATACATCAACTATAGATAAAACTAATGAACAAATGTAACAAAAAAATAAAAGAGGTTGGGGCTATCTGGTCAGCCTCCAAGGCAAGAGATGCTTAAGTCGGGCAATATTGCTGGGCATAGGGAAATTTTTAATAAGCTTTGTAAACTCTACGGAAGCTCGCACTGAAAAGAAATTAGATCTAACGCTTGTCCTCGCCCTGGGCACAGATAGTTTGGATTTAGCTCCTCTGGTAAGAGAGGGGAGTAGAGTGAAAAGATCACGCCTATCAATAGACACTTTGCCCGTCAGTATTTTGAACACCATCAACAAATCTAGTTTCTTTCGCCGGCATAAAAGAGAGTCACTAAGCATCTTGTTCCTGACAACCCCCTTGGTATAGCATTATATTAAATCCCAAACGAATCAAAAATTTTTGGTGAAACTATTTTGAATAGTCCCCAGCCAGTGAATAGACTTTTTCGAATGAGGAAACTGAACCGCTAATTTTTGAAACTTCGAACATGGCAAAACTACCTTAAGTATCCTATTTTTGCCAGGAATCGATTTCCCAAGCCTGTAAACGGAGACAGGAAAACAATCAATATTCAAATGAATCAAAATGTTAAGAACACTCTGGGAATCATAATGAATCCGATCACAAAGATTATTAGAATGCAATTTCAGGTACCCCACTAATAATGATAGATCGTTTCCTTTCGAATTCTTCATAAGAAATAGAGCTTGATTCAATAGCGGGAACAGAGGGAACGGTGGCTTCTTTTTCCTCATACCTCGGCAAACGTTCCCTTGATTCCTTATTCTCCTTCTCTAAATCATTATAAGACTCAATTCGGCTACGAAGTGAAGAATTCTCTTCTATCAAGGCACTTAAGCTGAGTAGCGATTGAAAGGAGGAGTTTCTTGAGACAATCAGGTACGGCTGGAGACTCATTGACTTGCTTAACAACATCCACCAAGTCAGATGACGCAATAGTACCATCGGGAGTAACGACTCGAGGGCGTTTTCCATTCTTAAGCAGACGAGATGGGTGTGTCATGCATCGAACAACGAGATCAAGGCAAAAATTCGGTATCGATAGCGGCGAGGTCGACCGAGAAAATCTTCAAAAAATCGAACAGTTCACCTGCGAGGGTCCCAAGAGTTACTTCTGAATAAACTGCCCTTGCGACCAGAAGCAAGGCTGATAGACGTAATCCGAAAAAGAGTAGTTAATACATATAGGCGACGAGTAGATGAAGGAATACAGATACTGAATATAGAACACCCGCAAACGAAAACGAAGCCCATCACGTCTTCAATTATTGAAGACAAACCGGGCGATTGCATATTGAGGGCAGTGAAGTCAAATTGTGCACCTATAATTGATAAGTAACCTTCAAGGAAGAAAAAACCCAAAAAACACATTCAAAGCACTACAATTAAAGAACACCTTGGCAGTCACATAGAATTTCCAGAGTCGCTCCGAACTGATACCCTGTGACCCTTTTGCATCCTCCCGTTCGCATACAGTCGTCATCCAGGCACTTGATTAGGCGGCCAAAGAGTTCGCGACGCGGCTGCGGCGATCAGCTGTTTCCAGCCTGGTTTAGCCATTTTCTCCCTGATTCTCACTGTTTTTGGCTGTTTTTCTGAGGTCAGCTGTTCCCTGTCTGCACAAGGTAAATAATGATTAGATTTCTCTGATTTTTGCGAATAATTAAACAATTAAACAAACAATTGGACGAATACTTGAAAAATCGCGAAAACGCCTTGTTAAAAAACCAAAAAAAGAAACCCTGTCCTATTGCACCTCATAATGGCAATAACACAACTTACCTCGAAAAAAAAACAGAAAATACAGTGAAAATTATCAAGAAAATTGCTAAACAGGCTGGAAACAGCTGATCGAACAGTTTTGACAAGCTGCAGCCGCGACGTGAACCTTTGAGCGCCTAATCAACTGCCCGGGTAACGACTGTATGTATCCTTTGCACCATGCTAGCGAGCACACAACGAGAGCCTCTTTTGAGAACTCCTCGCGCAAAACTGATTTTGTAGTC